GGCAGCTTTCCAAGGTCACACAGCAGAGAAGCAATGGGTGTAGCCGTGGGAATAGACAAGTGCCATGTCCATGAAGCTGTAACGCTTTATTCACAAAACGTATTAGATTTAAAGTATGTTCTTGGTAGTCTAACATTGGTGATGTCTGTTCTCGCAGAGTCTTAAACTGAGGTTAGTAAAGACTATTTTGCAAGTAGCGATGGAACTGCTCTAACAATCTTGTCGAAATGAGCAGGTTAGTACGAAGCATAGCATGGGATCATTAGCTGCTTTGGCTTTCCTGAATGTGAGTGGACTTATGTCCTCTGATATTCATGTTGAAAGTTCAGGCATAAACCTGCATAGCATTATTGAGCTTTTGTTGTTTTGTTTTTTTTTTTAAGAATTGTTCTCATATATTAGTTGGGAATCTTGCTCTTTGTGTTGATTTCAGTGTTGTGATTTTTAGCATTTATAATATGATATTCTAGTGTGCATTTTTACATGTGCAAGGTGCTTACTGGTAACTTTGCTTTGTTCATGATATTTTATCCTACTAGGTCTTGAATACCAGATATTGACTAAGCTGCAAAATTTCTGTCAGTACCCCCCCACCCTCTTCCTTATTTTTACCATAATTCAGCAAAATCTTTGTGTACTTTTGCATCTGACCCGCTGGGATCTGGAAGTCCATTCCATCCCCAAATTTTTCCATAGTCCAAGTCTCACCAACCTATATTCCGCAATTTCAGATACAGATGGAAAATTTGCAATAACTGAAGAACTGAAATGTAGCCCAGCTATCTTTCACATTTAATTAGAGCAGTCCCTGCAGAATACCCTGGAGATTATGAAAATCCCACATGTTGGAAATCTCGAGAAATTTGGCTTCCTTTTAAACAGGCCATCTGAGTATTGTTCTGATTGATAGAAAGATGGCTAGGTGACTAATGTAAGAAATACGAAGGTTTAGGGAAAATGATGGGTCAGTAACTTTCCTTTTTATAGCACCATAAATAAATTTCACCAGAGATCTAATAGATTGCAAGCTTTTTTTCAGCTAATATAGGAGTTTCATGTGCTTTTCCCCTCTGGAATATTATTCAATATGGACTATAATGTTCAATAGACAGCAACTCCACTTGGAGATTTGTTGCTTTCTATTTTAAAGCAGAAAGATTTTATCAAAAAGAATGTCAAAAGCAGTTTTATGTTAAAAGACAGATCTGTGATTAATTACAGCATTTGCAGGCAATGTTTTGTACAGGGAATAATGAATATTCAATACTATTTAATTGTTTATTTATAACAGCTTAATGAGCTTTACAAAGGCAGGAAAACACTGAAAAATGCAAACTAGAATGATAAAAATGCTTTGATTATATTTTCTCATTGACTGTCAACAACCTCTGAGTAAAAAGCTATACGTGATCGTGTTTTTCAATAATGGTGGTGACATGGCTTTCTGAAAAATGCCCTCCTGCTAGTAGAAAGGGGCTAATACCTCTCTAAAACAGCAGTGGTAGTGGTATATGCAGACACATTCATCATGATGGCTGATTATTCAGTATAGAATACACGTATTTAAATGTGCATGTGAGAGGCTGCCTGCTGGGAGTGAGAAAAACATCCCTAGACTTTCTGAGCTTCCTGATCAAGAATACTGTCAGTCTCTGTCATTGCTACATACTGGTGAGCAGGTACTTATGAGAACTGTTTTCTGTCTATATATTTGTCTGTATAGACTATTTTAACAAGAACAACATTCTTTTTTTTTGTTCTATTCCCCCATTAATTCTGCTAGTGTTAACTGGAGTAAGAAATTTCTTGCCAAACGCTGCTTCCTTGAGCATTCGTGTGCACAGATGGTAGAGAGAGAAAAAGAAAAAACAATCATAATTTTGTGAGTGGAAATATAAATCTTGCTTAAAGCAAGAAGTAGCACCTCTTACTGCATAGTGGAAAAGAATCTTTGAAGCTGACGAAGAAGAAAAATAATAAGAATTTGGGAGGACATCCAAAAAAATCCCCAACCCACAAAAATCCTACAGCAGAAGAAACATCTGACTCCTATCACCCCACTTGTAATAAAAATATATATTCCCCCTTTGCTTTGCAGTACCATGTATGCTGTATTTGTTCTTCCATATGCAGACTGGGATGAATCTGTGCTGCTTGTCACCTCAAATTGGTAGTCTCCTTTTTTTTCCTGTGTTAG